GGGGTGCACCGAGACAATGATTGAGACTGGTTGTGGTGGCTAAATCCCAGCATTTGGGAGGCTGAAAAGAGGAGAATCACTATGAGTTTGATCTGTGTAGTGAGACCCAAAGACCCTGTACTAAATACAGTTAAAAAAAAAAAAAAAAAAAAAAAAAAAAAAAAAAAAAAAAAAAAAAAGTTGAGTCAGGCAGAGCACCTGTCATCCCAGCTCCTCCGGGGCTGAGCTGGAGGATGCTGGAACCCAGGAGTTCTAAGCCAGCTTGGGCAACAGAGTTAAGATCCAGTCTCCAAAGCAAAAGGTCAAATATTTTATGTTCTTTCCAAAAACTGGAAATTGGCTCCATGCTTCCTTATCTTAATCAACAATAAATAGCTGCTCATTTCTCACCCAGCTTCACCTGGCCAGAAACAGACTGGTTAGACAGGGAGGCAGGGTGACAACCAGGTGGAGCCCCTTAAACAATAGAGAGGAGTTGGCATCTCTCAGATCTGCAATGACTACAAAGAGTTGAACTAATTTTCTTCACACAAGAAGGTACAACTATATATAACTTATTTTACACAAAAAATACTAATCCTAAATTGGGACTTTCTCCTCCCAGACCTTCTTCCCAGCCTGCATTTCTGTCCTTTTTAAAAACATTCATATCCTAATTCATTTATATTCACAAAGCTGTGAAGCCACCCTTTCTCCACTGTGTAATGTCACCACAGTGAAAAAGCCAAGCAGTTCTGCTCCAAGGGGTCCTCTGCAAAGCCTCAAAACTGCTCAGTTCTGTGGAAGGCTCTCAAGTAAAGGAGCCCGTGAAACAACAAAACACATATAACTTCCCACTGGAATGGAAGAAAATAAACGCATTTTACAATTACATTGCCCCTACTTTCCTTCAAAATGAGCTAGATTAGCTGAAGGGAAGGGAAGTTTACTCTCATTTTTTTCCCACACTACAAATCAATCACTTCACAACAGGCTCTAATGTCTGCAATTTAAACTTTACATGACGCATGAAAATCTTTTATGAATCAATAAGTCAATCGTTTTTCACTAAAAATACCCACACAAGAATAAATCTCACCACCCCCAATATTTCTTTTCCACCACAAGGCCTGGAAAGTAAAAACTGGAAACAATAATAATGTGTTTTTCATCTAAACTTGCATAATCTGCAACCAAGCAAATGAACTGAAAAACCATTTTTTTTTTTTACCATTTTTTAAAATAAGACAATCAGGAAAATTAAAAAACTGGACACTGAATAGTAAGAAATTACTATTAACTAGGCTCATGGATAACTTTGTATTTGTCTTTTAAGCTTTGGTGGTGCTGTGTGCTGCCAACTGCTTAGCCTTCAGTTTCACCTGGTGGATTAATTTATAGATGAAAGGCCAGAGATTTGCTTTAGAAAATTCAACAGGTGGGTGAAACAGAGTTGTCACGTGCTACTAACAGTTGAAGAAGGGTAAATGATAAATGAGGCTTTATTATACTGTGCTCCTTTCTCTTATTTTTTCCATATGGTTGACAGTTGTTCTCAGGGAAGGAAAATATAAACATCGAAACTCCTGTCTGTCAAAGGTACACAAGTTTTTGTTTCACTAAACCACTGAAAATTTTATTCTCCTTATGCATCTGGCATGATTTGTAATTTCCATTCTCCAAACTAATTTCCTCCGACAGACTAAAAACGGAAATACAAGAACTTTTGTGGCCTTTTAATTCCACTCATCAGTTAAGTGCTAAGTGAGGAAACAATCTAGAATTCCAACTTAATCGTATTATTGAATTTGAAGACCATTTACGTTTTGAGTTAAGAAGGTGAAAAAGCACAGGATTCGTTTTATTTTAAACTTACCTCACTCCTCGATTAAACTAAGTTTGGCAGACAGTGCACAAAGGTGGAAATGGAACTGATGTTTGTTCACCCCCAAGAAATAAACTTTCCCAGAAGAAGGTAAAAGAACTCAAAGGAACATGACACACAAGTATTCCCCAAATCTCCGGTAACCCACGTACTCCGTGACAGTCGCCCCACTAGCCTTTCAAGTGGTTCACAGGCAGCGAGCCCGGCTGGTCGTTTCACCTCCTCCCTTCTCAGGGGAGGTGCTAGCGAGCCAAGAAATGACCAAAAGACAGGCCGGAAGGAGGAGAGCGAAACGCAAAACGCATGGAGTCCGGACAATCAGCGCTTCGGCAACGTGAAGAGTGTGTTCAAAGTGGACTAAGTGAGAGGGAGCGCGCTGCTACACACCTCCCTGGAACCCCAACGATCCTAAGCGATCCGCAGAACACAACTCCCTGTTCTCCCCGAGTCCTCGCAGGTACAAAAGAACTCCGCGGACCCGCGGCCACCAGGAGTGCCCCAACTCCCACTCCCACCCACCCGGGCCCCGCGGGGCGACGCGCCCCCGCCCGGAAGGCCGCCCTCGCCAGTCCTCGCGCGGGTCCGAGGCCGGGACCCTCTCGCGGACCCAAGGCGGGGATGCCGGGGACCGAGCCCGCTGGCTCCACTCGCCCGCCGCCAGGCCCGCGGCACCCCCCGCGAGGCCCTGGGGTCCTGGACGGCAACCCACTCTGGGCCCAGGCCCGGCGCCCGCGAGGGTCGCCGCGAGCCTCGGCCCGGGTCCTTCCCCGCGCCTGCGGGACCCGAGGTCCAGAGTCGCGGCGGCCGCCACCGTACGGACGCAGTCACTGCCTACCTGTCTTCGCTCTTGTTTTTCTGTTTCTTCCCCATGGCTTGTCAGCGGCGCTCGCGACCTCTAGCCTCCCTACTCGGTCTCTCCCAGAGCCACCGTCTCCCAGCCGACTTCGGACTCCGCTCAGCTCGGTCCCTCCGCGCTGCCACCTCTCGCACCCGGCTCTCCACAGACCCGCGCACTGGGACAGGGCACATATGGTGTGAACCCTCAGTGCGCACGCGCATCGCCCGGCCGCCTCGGCGTGGGGACGCAGGACGCGGCGCATAGAGAGCTGCTCTTAGAGAAGAGCGTCTCCAGTACACACTCTGGCCCGGCAGGAGCGCGCGCGCCCCCTGGCCGCAAGCGTCCGCAGCACACCGACACCCGTGTCGTTTCTATTTCCAGGTTCTAGAACGCAGAGGTAGACAATGAAACAACTTTTCCGCGAGGATCGCAGGCTTCAGGGATTGGTATTCGGCTGCAAACAGGCAGAAGACTTACTTCCCGCAGGCATTTTTAGTCTCAGCCGCATCAAGTTCAGTAACACTATGAACCCGTCCGTGGTGGATGATCTGAGGTTCGAGAAGATGAAGCCAGCACAAAATTGAAGCTCTCAGAGATGTCCGTAGATTATAAACTATGTACAGTCATGAAGGAAACACACAACAAGGCCATCTCCATTCATTCCCTAGTATAGGGTTTGATCTTCACACTCAAAGCAAGAGCGAGTTCTTAAAATTCTCATGTTGGGGAAGCCAGGAAGAAGCTACAGGGATGGAGAAAATGATCTAGATGCCATAACATATATAACATATGAGGACAAGGGAACCAGCAGAGACCACCAGTTTTGTGTAAATGTAGCATGGCCAGGAGCAGGCAGGCCAAGTGCACAATAAGACCGTGTGCTGTAAGCAAAGAGATGTGTGTCCCTGGTATGGGGACGGGGATGTCAGGGGACATTAGGAGGGAAGATCCAAATAAATATCTGTGGTCAAAAGTTCTCTGGCAGTCTTGTACCTTAGTGGCCAGAGTCAAGTGTCTGAGGTACGTTCTCAAGTCTCCAGATGTCTCCAGGACCTGCAAAACGTCTTGTCCAGTCTCCTTCACAACATCTTGTGCTTGCGAATAACAGCCTCCAGTGCTGAGCTGAATTCCCTGCAGACAGCAGTGCTGCTGGTGGCAAGCAGGCTGGGAGCTGTGTGAGTGAGGTTCGGTTGGAGCCTTATAGATAGGTGAGCATTCCTCGTTCAATGTGCAAGACTCATTCCTGTGACCAAATGAGCCGGTCCCTACAAGAGTAACTGGATATAGTACGGATGTTACAATACAGTATTTTTTTTAAATTTTATTTATTTATTTATTTGTGTGTGTGTGTGTGTGTGTGTGTGTGTGTGGCCAGCTCAGCCCACCAGGGGGCGGGGCTGGCTGGCATGTGGTGCTGGGGGATTGAACCGCGGTCCCTGTGGTTTGCTAAGCTTGTTCTAAGTAGGTGCTTTAGGCCACTGAGCCATCTCACCAGCCCACAATACAGTATTTAGAACAAAAAAATTGTCAAACAAAACAACTCGATGACTTTACTTTTATTTGCATGTCTCTTACACACAATACTATAATGTATAATAGCACATTAAAAACTACAGTACTGTACATTACAATCAGCAAGAATTACACTACTAGCTGGGTGTGGAGGCGCCCACCTGTAATGCCAGCACTCGGGAGGCTGAGGCAGGAGAAACATTTTGAGCTCGAGATCAGCCTGGGCTACAAAATGAGCTCGAGGCCAGGCTGACCTGCATAGTGAGACCCCGTCTCAAAAAGATACCAAACAAACAAACTACTGTACATCAAGTTGTGCTGTACAAAAAAGACATTGAGGCTCTATCAACAAGATGTACAGAACCGTACAAAAAATAAAAACCCACGGGTCTTCAATCCGAACAGTTGTTAAACAGGTCGTCAAACGAAGGAAGTCTGTGTATTGGGAGTCAATGACTTAAAACTTCATTGTGCTGCATAAATTATACCTCAAATTTAGAAAAGGGGAAATGTTCCATTCACGTTAACGAAGTTCAGGTGTTACCCCTGAGCACTATCCTTGCTGACGCGTTTCTGATGTAACATTATGACTAATGGCCGGCGCCTAGCAAAACTCAACTTGATGACTTTGGTAGAAGTCGTCCAGCCCAGACAGAAACAAACTACAACTCCCAGGATAACTTGTTCCTTTTCCCGCTGGACGGATTTACCCGGAGGGAAACAAAAGATCTGAAACTTCTGGTTCCCGAAGCCCGGCGAGCCGCGCACGCGCAGCCACGCTCGGCGCACGCCCACAGTTTCCTCTCGCGTCGCACGTCGTGTCGCAAGGAAACTGTAGCCAATAAGGAGGCGGGAGTGAGGGCCGGTTAGCAGTCGCCGGCAGCCGCTGCGATCCTGAAGACAGTTTTCTGGCGCTGCCGCTCCTTCGTCGCTCAGGCATTGCGGAGAGTTCAGGTGAGGCAGGGACGGCAGCAGCTGAGGCCGCCGAGGCCCCCGTACTGACGGGCCTGTAGCCGCGCGACGTCGGGCCCGGTCGGGGGAAGGGTGCGGCCCGGACGCCGCTGTCCGCGCTGCGGCTGGGGCTGCCGCGCATGCGCTGCAGAGCGCCCTGAAGCCCGGGGGCCCCCGGAACTGCCCTCATCTGTCCCGGGGGCTCCGGGGAGGCGAGGGTGGTGTTGGAAGATCCCCCGGGGGCAGTTAAGGGCGAGGCCCTGGTTGTCGGTACGAGTATTTGTGGGTGAATCCAGAAAATGGTCAGGAAATTTGAGGACGGACGGTGGTGTCTCTTTCCATCCTTGCATTTGAGCTGTAAAAAATAATCTGACTGTGGCTTGAAGAGCGAAGAGTTATGGGGACCACGACACCATCTCCTTAGCCCTTTCTGAGTGAACAGTTCATGCTTCTGTTCCCAGTTCGCGCAATTAAATTCCGGGCTCATCCTGCAGACCTTGAAGGATAAGCATCCGCAGCGCTGGGAGAGCAGATTCCGACCTTCTTCGCTATTCCCACCCAGCGGCCACAGTCCTGACGTTTTCCTTGGGAGGTGAGGAATATGGAAATCTGCTATTTTTAAAATAGAGCTGCTTTTCAATTGCATAGTATTAATGATGAGCGTATAGCTTTGTTTTTCAAAAAAAAAATTTTTTTTTTTTTGGTTTTTTTTTTTTTTTTTTTTTGAGACAGAGTTTGGGTTACTCAGTTGAGAATGGCCTGGCGCTCACCTTTTCGCCCAGGCTGGTCTCGAATTCACATTTCCTGCCTCAGCCTCCCGAGTGGGATTATGGGAATTATGGGGCTGGAATTATGGGGCTGTGCCACCACACCCGGCTAGTTTGCTTTTTTAAATCCATACTTTTGCACTTAATGATTTGAACAGAAACGAAATTTAAAAGTACACAAATGTTTAAATACATTAGTGAGTTAAAAATACATAAATGTTTGAATTTTTTTAAATGTGTTATAGTGAAAGACACATCGCGGTGAATCCCCCTCAGAATCCGCCCCTTCACTTCAAACATACCTCCCCCATTGTTCTTGCCGTTTTCTGAAGCAGCTCTGGAAGTCCTCCTTCCTGAGGGTCTGGGGAGTGCTCGGATCCCTTTCGGCCTGGCCTGGCCTGGCCTGGCCATTTTGACTTAGGGAAGAAAAAATCAGAAGTAAGATAGTGCCAGATCTCCAACGAATAAAGGTAGGTGGAGACACAGTTATATTTTTATTTGACAGAAATGACCATAAACGCTTGATCAATGCAGGGTCATCATAAAATATGGTGAATATATAAATTTTAAAATAGTATGGTAAAAGACTTAACTTTTTTTTTCCCCGGTGAGAGGGTGTTGCTATGTAGCCCAGGCTGGTCTTGAACTCACGGCAACCCTCCTACCTTGGCCTCCCCAGTGCTGGGATGACAGGCATGCACCACCACCAGGGCTTCCTCCTTGTTTTAAGTAGTTATCCCCTCATTCTTGGCAGTGTGTCTTTTGCTGTAATAAATTTGCTTTTCAAATTTTAAATACTCATCATATCCTTTGATTACTCCTTCTATGTTCATTCAAATTAAATATTGAATTTAGAGCACATGTGTTCTGAGCACTGCTAGTTCATTCAGGCTTTTAAGGTGCTTTGGTAGGTAGTATTTGTAAAACTATCGATAGTGTATTGAGATGCAGCAGCTACATGCTTTAGTTGGCAAATTATAAATCATTTCTGTGGCAATAACCCAGGGATACACATAAAATTGCTTCTGTGGCCAGTAGCAAATACTGAATATTATTAAGAATGTATAATTGAGAGATCTTTGTGTAATCTGAGGTCTGTTTTAAAACTTAGATTGCACAAAAGAATGATATATAGTATTTCAAAAAATAAGCCAGGTGTGGTGGCACTCACCTGTCATCTCAGCACTCAGGAGGCTGAGGTAAGAGGATCACAGTGAGTTCAAAGCCCACCAAACCCTGTCTCCAGCCGGGCATGGTGGTGCACACCTGTAACCCCAGCACTTGGGAGGCTGAGGCAGGATTGCTGGGAGTTCAAGGCCAGCCTGGGCTACATAGTGAGACCCTGTCTCAAAAAAAAATTACCTGTCTCCAAAGAAATTGTTTTTCAAAAGGCATTTGAAGTTTTACATCAAAGTTAAGAATGCTGGCTATTACTAGTACACTGAAACCAGTATTTATTTTTGGAACCTTGTGGATTTTATTAGGCTATACAGTAGGAGTAGACAAACTCCATGGCAGGGACCACAAGAAAGGTATCTCGCTCAACACAGTGGTCAGTCAAATTGTGACATGTATTTATGTGGAGAGCCCAGTAGTTACAAACACCCTCCTGCTGTAAAGTCATTTCCGTTCTGCTTCTTTTTTCTTTTGGTGAAAGCACTGCTTACCAGCGCATGGCACTAGGTACAGCTATAGCTCATTTCTGTGATCTGGTGGTGGCCTTAAAGATTTGCTTCAGCTTTAGTATGAACTGAATCACATGTACCTAATGTTTGCTGTCGCTAATTACATTTTAGTCATCAATTAGATTTTCATTTTTTTAAAGTGTTTCTATTAGTCTTAACATTCCCACCCGCTTGAATCATCGGTGGTACTACATGCGTGTGCCCCATTGGGCAGCTTAGACCACCTGACAGGGCTGTCCGTGCCACCTGATGGGACAGCCGTGCAGAGAGCATGGTGGTTCAGAGCCGCTCAGTAGTAAGTTACAAATTAGGGCCCCATCATGAGCACGTTACGTTACTGTGAATATGTTATTGCCAACTCGGGTTCCCCTCCCATTAGTTATGACTAAAACATGAGGTGTAAATTTTCTGGACGTTTGCTGTGATTCTAACCTACTGAAAATTAAAACATTTAAATAAAGATGCTTGCTGGGGATATAGCTCAGCAGCACAGTAGCTGCCTGGCAAGCGCAAGGTCATGAGCTCGATTCCAAGTAGGAAAAACAAAAAAGAATTTCCCAAAATTCATCAGCACGAATCAAGGCTTGGCTATTGGCAGAGTGTTCTGTGGCATACACATAACTAGAGAAAAAAATTTGCTTCTTGTTGGTTTAAATTTTGTACACCTTCTCCCCAGCACGAAAGTTGAACTGCACCACTTAGAAGAATGGAGGCTGATGCATCTGTCGACATGTTTTCAAAAGTCTTGGAGAACCAGCTGCTGCAGACTACCAAACTAGTGGAAGAACATCTGGATTCTGAAATTCAGAAGCTGGATCAGATGGATGAAGATGAATTGGAACGGCTCAAAGAGAAGCGACTTGAGGCCCTGAAGAAAGCGCAACAGCAGAAACAAGTAACTTCTCTCTGTCTTGCTTTCCGAAATTGCTGTACCAGTGTGCTCCTACCAACTTATACAGACGTGTGCGGTGCTAGTCTCATTTGGGTCCTCAGTTCTAGAGTTTTCTGAATTCAGAATTTCCATCATTGTTAAAAATTTGTCAAGGAAGCCTAGAATATAGCTCAGAGGTAGAGTGTGGGCTTGGCACGTGCACAGCCCAAGATCAGTCCCCAGCGCTATTGAAATTTGTCCGGGGGAGGGAGGAGAGAGAGACATTAGGGAAGAAGATGTGGTATGTGAAGGGCTGACATGTGAAAGAGATTAAAGCTTGGATCTTAGTCCAAGCTGTGGTCTCCACAGGAAGCGGGAATATAGTGCAGCACTGTGTCAGATGACCTCTCTAAAAGTGACCCAGTATGGGTACAGATGCTTTTTAAGCCCTGGCCAGGCATTTCCAGGCATCCCTGTGTAGATTGCGTGTTCATTTTCACAACAACAAAGTGAGATAGCTAGGTATTTTGTCGTGTCATTATGGACTAGGTACTGTGCCTTCTGCCTGGGAGTTCCAGGCTCCTTTTTGTTAAAACCGGCTGCCTCAAAATCAGACTGAGGGGCTGGTGAGATAGCTTAGTGGTCTAAAGCACCTGTTCAGGCACGCTTAGGCAGGTACAGGGGGCCACGGTTCGATCCCTGGCACCACATGCCCCTCCAGCTCCACCCTCAGGGTGGGCTAAGCCAGCAAAAAATAAAAGCAGACTAAGCATCCCACTGAAGTGTTAAGCTTCCTGCTGCAGGGACGATAGAGAAAGTCTAGCAGGTGCGGCAGGCCTGGCTGCTATGGGGTTCCCGTACTGGGTAGGAGAGTTGGACAGTTGGAGCTCTTCTCTGATCCCAGACCCTGTGTGAGCAGGCTGCTTTCTCTTCTCAGAACACAGCCCCGGGTGGCGTGGCGTGGCTCAGTTCTCAGAAGCGCACAGAGCCCCCAACCTCTCAGCTGCAGTCATGTCTTTCTGTCCCAGAGACTGACTGGTTTCTCATAGTTTGGTTTTTGCTGAGGAGGGAACATTATTTTTAAAAGCTTTGTGGGGCTGAGGCACAGCTCATTGGTGAGGGCTTCACCCGCCTTGTGACCTTAGGCCTAAGGCTCAGTCCCCAGCGCCACAAAAAGAAGAAAAAGCTTCGTAATAACTTAAATCTAATGCTTCTGATTTTAGTTTGAGAGCACACAAACACACCCAAAAGCCGGGTGTCATGGCGCACACCTGTAATGCCAGCACTCAGGAGGCTGAGGCACGAAGATCACCATGAGTTTGAGGCTACCCTGAGCTACATAGTGAGTTCAAGGCCAGCCTAAACTACATAGTGAGACCCTGTCTCAGCCAAAAAAAGAGAAGAAAAAAGAAACAGGAAAGTAAGCTGATAAAAGAAATAGAGGTTCTCTGCCAGACAAAATTGACTTGATTACAAAATAATATAATTGTGACACTTATCAAGTAGGGCTGAGTGAATTACATCACACCTATAATCTTGTACTTCTGTCCAAATTAGGAATGGCTTTCAAAAGGACATGGGGAATACAGAGAAATCCCTAGTGAGAGAGACTTTTTTCAAGAAGTAAAGGAGAGTAAGAAGGTGGTTTGCCATTTCTACAGAGACACCACGTTCAGGTAACTTAGGTTCCCGCTGTTCTCTTAAAACACGATGAAATGTTTACATAGAGGTACACTGGTTTTCTTAGAGGCATTTAACCACTACCCGTCTAGTTATTTAAATACAGGATGACCAACAATTGCATATTTTTGGTTAATTTTTATAATATAACAGGAAATATAAAAATGAGAATTTTATATTTCCAAATTGCTTTTGTATATTGTCTTTCTTTGAGGGATTTTTTTTTTTTTTTTTTGGTCGCCTCAGGGCAGGTCTGGTTTGGCTTGAGGATCTGGGGATAAACCACAGCATCCTGAGCCTCACTGCTTTGTTTCAGCAGGCACTTAAACCACTGACCTAATGGCAAGCCCCTTGTCTTTCTTTGAACGCCACACTTTCCACTATTGTGTTGGCCTTTCCTTTTCTTCCGCGGTCAGGTATAAATTCAATAGACTGTCTATCCACTAAACTTAGAGGATATCTTAACTGATGAGGTTATCCCATATTTTTCACTTATTTCACTGAGACATTAGGTCTAATGTAAATTGTGCCTGAGCTGGGCTTGGTGGTGCACACACTCCAGAGGCTGTGCATTGTGAGTACGAAACGAGCCTGGGCTACAAAGTGAGTTCAAGGCCAGCCTGAACTGCACAGTGAGACTCAGTCTCAAAAAGACTAAATAAATCAATAGCTAGATAGATAATAAAGGACTTTCTGCAGCACTCTCATTTTGAATAAATAACAAGTTCCATATTACTTGGTCCAGAAGGTACATAAATATTTTATAATAATATTTTCCCCCGCCTTTTGATTACAGGACAGCTTGTTAGATGTTGGTCAACTCTATCAACACCACCCATAGAATTTTTATAATCCTTGAGCACTACTACAAGTTTTTTAGGCTCATTTCTTCTTTCAGGTTCTGTCATTTCTGTATTATAAATAGTTGACAGTAAGGACTGAGCTCTTTTCATCGTGCCATTTCGTAGCAGACTCTCCTCCCCTTTGCAGATATGCTGACATCTCTCCCTTTGCAGAGTTTGTTATTTGCTTCTTGACCAGTGTCGGTATCCCAGGTCCATTTTGTGTTGTGAGGGGGTACCGCTGAGTTCTGGAGAAGTATAAAGGTTGTGTCTAATGTACCTATGATCAGAGCTTTTATAGATCGTAGCACAGAATTGGAGAATGCTTTTCATAAGAGAAACAGACATGAATTAGTAAACGAAACAACCAAAACTTATGTTAGATTTCATTAGAAATAAATATCAAAGGCAAATACGGAGTTCTAAATAAAATGTATTTGAAGAATAGTTGATACAAAACAAACCAACACACCAAGTGTCTCGTACCAATAAGAGTCACCTGGTTGAAGTGACACCTGCCCAAGCAGTGCTGAGGACAGTGAAGACATGGACAAGCATGCTGCCTGGTGACACGCTGGATAAACTCTTCTGCAGTGAAGAAAACCAAGAGGAACAGCTTCCTAGGCTGTGTCATGGCTCCCTGTTGGGCTTTTGAATGTTCTGGTCAGCATATCAAACAACTGTAGCTTAAGGCCAGCAACATGCAAACAATTAAATGATTTGCGCTTGCCAGGCAGGCACTTACGCTGCTGAGCTGCCTCCCTGGCCCCAAATAAGTGACTATTATAGAAAGTCAATCATGTTCCCATATAAGTTGCCTGAATTAATTTCTTGGTAACTCTGAGAACATCTTAGAAATATGTACTTAAGACTCTTAAATTTTCTTATTTATTTGTGTTACTGGGGATCGAACTTGGGACCTTGTGCTTGCCAGGCAAGCACTTACACTGCTGAGCTCTCTCTGGCCCAAGAGCTCAAGGCAGCCTGAACTGCATAGCAAGACCCTGTCTCAAAAAAGAGACTCAGAGCCTTCACCTTTCACTCTTAACCATGAGACTGACAGCTTGGCAATTGCTTTGTGACATCAAACCTGTATTTAATATTTTGGTATTTTGCTTTAATAACTATTATTAGGCCAAATGTGACTTTCCAGAGTGCTGGAGTCTTTAAGCCTCTCACGTTATTTATGATCTAGAAATGAAGCCAGCTGATACAAGCACAAGTTGTCTGCCAGTTTTGAGATTAAGCAAAAAACTATAAAATCAGATGCCCAGGGCTGGTGAGATGGCTCTGTGGTCTAAAGCACCTACTTAGAACAAGCTTTGAAGCACAGGGACTGTGGTTCAATCCCCCAGCACCACATGCCAGCCAGCCCCGCCCCCTGGTGGGCTGAGCTGGCCACACACACACATGCACACACACACACACACACGCACACAATAAATAAATAGATAATTTTTTTAAAAGTTTTAAAAAAAAATCAGATGCCCAGTGATACTTATTTTTAAGTCAGATGTGGTGGTGCACACTTGTAATTGCAGCACGTAGGATGCTGAGGCAGGATGATCGCCATGAGTTTGAGACCAGCCTAAACGACATTGTGAAATCCTGTCGCAAAAAAAAAAAAAGATTCTTTTTAAAGAAACCTGTTGCTTTGTTTTTTTGACTTGTCTGTGCTGTCACCTACAGATGTAAAATCTTAGACAGACATCTGGTGATACTATCCAAGAAACATCTTGAGACCAAGTTTTTGAAGCTGAATGTGGAAAAAGCTCCCTTCCTGTGCGAGAGACTGCGCATCAAGGTCATCCCCACGCTGGCGCTCGTGAAGGACGGCAAAACACAAGATTACGTTGTCGGGTTCACTGACCTGGGCAACACAGACGACTTCACCACAGAAGCTCTGGAGTGGAGACTGGGCTGTGCTGACATCCTCAACTACAGGTGACCTGCAGCCGGAGAACACGTTCATTTATAGTCTCCTCTACTTGATTTTTTATCTTAAGATTCATGAAGTTAAGGGTTGTGGCTGAGATAGCTTCTTTTTTTTTTTTTTAAAGTTGATGTCTATTCTTTTTTTTTTTTTTTTTAAACATTTATTTATTTATTTATTGTGTGTGTGTGTGTGTGTGTGTGTGTCCAGCTCAGCCCACCAGGGGGCGAGGCTGGCTGGCATGTGGTGCTGGGGGATCGAACTGTGGTCCTTGTGCTTTGCCAAGCTTGTTCCATATAGGTGCTTTAGACCACTGAGCCATCTCACCAGCCCTGAGATAGCTTCTAAGGAAGAACATTATGCCTTGAGGAATAAATTAGTGTGCTCCTGTAGCAAGATTAGATTTTTTGTTTGCTTATTTGTTTTTGCAGTACCGGGGATTGAACTCAGGACCTTGCGCTTGCCAGGCAAGTGCCTATTCTACTGAACTATCTCCCTGGCCCTAATACTTGCTTTGTTTTATTTTGTTTTGTTTTTTGGCGGAACCCGGGGTTAACTCAGGCCCTTGCACTTGCTAGAGAAGTGCTTATTTCACTGAGCCATCTCCCTAGCCCCTTGCAAGACTAAATTTACAGAGGAAGCTGAGTCTTGGAGTATACCTGACTATAAAATATCTTCAACTTAGAAGGTGTTACTGAAATTAATTCTGTATCAACTGGTAACCCCAAATGACACTTAGAGCAGGTTCTTCCCAACTCCCTGCCACCATGTTGGGGCTCTAACCCAGGACTGCACACACTGTACAGTATGAGCTCTGCCCCGAGCTACCCCCAGCCCACTTCTGCAGTTTAATGCTGACTTCAGTGATTCTCTTGCATGAAATCAAAAGTGCACTACAGGTTACATTTTCTTTGTTTTGTGGTGCTAGAAATCTAAGCCAGGAACTTGACATACCCGGCAAGCACTGAGCTATACCCCAATCCCTAAAGTTATTTATTTTAAAATATTAGGTCTCACATGTAGAATCTGATAAACACAAAAGGTTTTCCGTACTGTGGAGGGTAGTCTCGGTTGGAAAACGATCTGAAATTCAACTTCCATTTCTCAGTCATGTCTGTTTTATAATCCCAGCACTTGGGAGATTGAGGCAGGATGATTATCACAAGTTTAAGGCCAGGTATGTAGTGAGTTCAGAGTCAGCCTGAAGTATGTAGCAAGACTCTGTCTCCAAAAGCAAAAAAAATCAAAAATGTTCACCTGTACTACCTTGTGTTCCATGCCTGTTCTTTTCCTGTTTTGTTTTTCTAGGACTAGGGATCAAACCCAAGGTCTCTGCCCTGAGCTACATTTTCATTGTGTCTTGCTCCACTGCCTAGGCTGAGCTGGAGTTAGCAATCCTCCTGTGTCTGCCTCTGGCTGAAAAGTAACAGGTCAAGTGGTTCAGTTAGCTTTCTAGCCACATTGCCTCCCTGATAGTAGAAAAGTCATCTTTTGGTCCCGCTTTCTATCCGCTTCGCGTCTCTTCTTGACAGGGAGCCACGGGAAATGCTTAGAGTAGAAATCACTATGTCATGTACGCATCTTCAGACGTTACTATCCTCTCATTAAAGTCCTTTGGATCCGTAGTATCGTCCCTCCCTCCAGGCCCCACACCTGCTGCTTTGTTTCAGTCTTGCTTTTAAGACTGATGTTTTCCCTCTTCTAGGTTTAGTGACACTTCTGTTTAGTGGTGCCATTATGGGCTGTTCATTTTATTCAGCGTGTTACAGATGTTGGCATTCTGAAGTCAGACTGCTGCACACCTGGTAGTGAGAGCCCTTTCTTAGTGGCTCTCCTGGTAAAGCATTCCTATAACCCTTTGAGCCCTTCTTTTCTGGTCCAAACAAACTGTTTTACAGAAGCTAACCTTGTAGTCTCCTAGAACTAGCTGTTTCACCAAGGAACCACACTGCCCTTCAGCAGCAAATGGTAGTTCAAAATCAAGATCTCAGTGCCAAGAATCTCATTTGGCTTATTTCTCCAGTGTCATTGAAATGAATTTTTTTGAAAATAATAAAAAATGTTTTCATGCCAACTCCAGGTTAATGATAATGAATTCCAGGTTTTACTAGTGTCAGTAGAAATCCTAAGTGTTAAAAATATTAAATAGGAAGGGATTGGGTGAAAAGGATCAAAGTTTGTTGTGTGCATGTATGAATGGGCCAAAATGAAACCTGCTGATCTGCATAACCAAGCTGGGTGCACTTGGGAGGCTCAGGCAGGAGGACTGCTGCAAGTTCAAGGCCAGCCTGGGTTACAAAGTGGATTCAAGACCAGCCTGAAGTGTATAGTGAGTTTCAAAAAATAAGCACAATGGGGCTCAGCAGCGTAAGTTCCTGCCTGGCAAGTGCAAGGTCCTGAGTTTAATCCTTGGTACCAACAGAAGCACACCTGACAGGTTCAGCATGATCAGAACCAACTACAAAACACGTAACTTCTTTCTGTGCTCCTTGGTGAGAGATTGTGTTGTCATAGCTTATAAGTGGTAAAAGAAAAAACACTGATGTAAAACATGAAACGTTCAAAATAAGCTGATTAACATGTTTATTAATATACTTCCAGTTCGATCCCCAGGCCTGTTGTGCCAGCCCCGCCCCCAGGGTGCGCTGGAACAGCAATTGAGACTGGGTGTGGTATATATTTTTATCTTTTTTTTTTTTTTTTTTTTTTTTAATGTGTGTGTGTGTGTGGCCAGCTCTGCCCACCAGGGGGCGGGGCTGGCTGGCATGTGGTGCTGGGGGATTGAACCACGGTCCCTGTGCTTTGCTAAGCTTGTTCTAAGTAGGTACTTTAGACTACTGAGCCATCACACCAGCCCCTGTATTTCTATCTTGATTAGAGGCTTTTTTTTTTTTTTTTTTTTTTACCAGGGATCAAACTCAGGACCTTGCACTTTCCAGGCAAGCACTTATTCCACTGAGCTGTCTCCCCAGCCCCTATCAGGCATTTTAAAGAAAAATTTCTATATATTATGTGTTCTTTGTTATAGGAAGGAAGATAATTTTTCTTTACAACTTAGGATACCAAAAATAGTAAATGCTTCTCATATTTTTCTTTTTAGTGGAAATTTAATGGAGCCACCATTTCAGAGCCAGAAGAAATTTGGGACAAACTTCACAAAGCTGGAAAAGAAAACCATCCGAGGAAAGAAGTATGACTCAGACTCTGATGAGGACTAGGGCTCACTTTCAATACTTCGTAAATTATGTTTCTGTTTACTTCAGACTTCATGTGTTTCTAAAATTCTATGATTTTAACATACCATTGATCATCTGATGTTCATATCCTGGATTTTTATATAGCCCCGCCACCCTGAAAGGCATCCTTACCGTTTTCTGTGTGGCCGTCAGGTTCAAGTTGAACACTTCTGAATTCTGAAATCACCTGGGGAGGGTCTAGCTTCTCTGTCATTGAGATTGGTTTTTATCACAGTGTGATTCTTACATCTTTATACCATTCACAGTTGCGTTTTTAATCTACTGAGCTAGAAATAGAAAATCCAGCCAACTATTCCAGGACTGAGGCTTACCCAGTGCTGTTTCCATCACAGGTCTGGGAACATTTACTGGTGTGGCACACTGCACTTGTAAGTGAACAGGAACTATAAGCACTTCACTTGTGGAATTTATTTAAATAGCTATTAGAGAACCACTTATTCTGGATGCTGCAGGTTGCTGTTGCGTCAACTGGTGCAGCAGAAAGCTATTTCAGGTTGTGAACATATTGCCTTACTTAACGGGTCCTCATGGCTTGTATTTAAGACAGGCATTTAAGGGTAATCAGGAAACACTTGGAATGGCGACATGAGGAAATCCACTGACTCAATAAAACAACCATAATTGGTAAAAATTGTCTTATTTTTAAAGTTTAAGTCTTTGGGAAATCTCACAAGGGCATACAGCAAACATTTATTTAAGAAAATCTCAGGCCAGGTGTGTCTGTGCATTCTTGTAATCCCAGCACTTGGGAGGCTGAGACAGGAAGATTGTTAGGAGTTTGGAGCCAGCCTGGGCTACAAAGTGAAGTCAAGGCCAGCCTGAACTGCAGAGCAAGATGCTGTCTCAAAAAGACCAAAAAAAAAAAAGAACAACAAAAAAAAATCTCAGAGCTAGGCATGGTGGTTCACATCCGTAATCCCAGCACTTGGGAGGCTGAGGCAGGAAGATTGTCACAGTTCAAGGCCTGCCTCCATTATATAGTAGTTCAGAGGAAGCCTGAACTATACAGCAAGACCCTGTCTCAAAAAAAAAAAAGGAAAAAAATCCCAGGGCTGAGATGTAGCTCAGTGGTAGAACACTTGCCTATCACGTGCAAGACAATCATCAGTACTAAAGAAAAAATCAAAAATTTTTCCACCCCTGTGCATTCTCCCAGTTCTTGGTCCCAAGAGCTCTCCACAATGAGAGCAAGAAGCCTGGAGTCCTCCCTCTCGCCAGGCCTGGCATGGCACAAAACCATTTGGGAATGGCGTGCTGAGAGTGTAGGCCTCCAGCGGTCCTGCCCCAGCTCGTCTGTTAGTGTGAAGACTGCGTGCAAAGTGGAAAAGTTGAGAGACCACAGCCCCATGTGGAGGCCGAGGCATCAGTCCTAGGAGAGCAAGGACTCTGACGTTCTGTCCAGGGCAAGTGACAGGTGTCAGGCCATCAAAACAGCTTCACATTAAATCTAAAGGGACTAACTCACTTGTTCAAAGTGAAGGAGGAAATGGTCACCTCTGTAGTTCTTCCAAATACAACAGACGCTGGCCTGGGGAGGACAGGAACATTGCTCCCTCTGGTAGCAACAAGCAAAAGATCAGTGTAGTTCAGCAGAGACAGGCAGCTGTATAGCAGAAGCGTAGGGGTTTCAGAGCTGGGAAGATGCTTTGCAGGAGTGTGCAGGTCGGAGCCTCACGGGTGCCTAAGACCCTGCCCCATGGGCACGGTCCCTTCACAGTGGTGGAGAAGCTGGGCTTTGTGCACCTGGGTATCCCTTTAGCTTCTCAGTCCTTCGGGCAATGATGGGCGAAATCATGCAGGAGACAGCAATATCAAATATGTCTGAATTTAACTGGATCCAACTGCTGCTGGAGGCTGGGGGTGTAGTTCGTGGTGGAGCCCTTGCTTAGCACTAGTGAGGCCCTGAGTTCTGGCCCCGGGATCACATTTAGAAACAATAGCATGCCCATGGGTACTGTCATAAACCGTAGAGACTGGCTAGCAATAAGTGGGTGCTTACAGTAAGGGGCATCACAGCAGAGGCAAACCTGAGCTTTTGTGGGTAGACTGGGGAAGACAGTCCTTGTCCCTGGGGATGGAAGGAAGAGTGAGGAGCACAGGCCGCCTGCTTCCTGCACTTAACTGTCCAGCCAAGTAGCTAAAGCAAGCAAGGGGATGATGAGGGGGTGGGTTATATAAAAGATTTGCTTAAAAAACATTATATTGGAGATAAAAAGCTATGGTGGAAATAATCACCAGACAGTATCAGTAAGAGAGGAAGTTCCTTAACCAAATGGAAATTCTGGAGTTCAGAAGTACACGAGTTGTGAAAAATTGATTACCGGGGCTAACAGTTGCTAAGAGCGTCCATTAGAAAAAATCAGCAAATGGAGATACCTGTGCAAATGAAGCTATCCAAAGAACAGGGTAGAGAAGAGTAGAAAACATCCAAAGATAGATACAGATTACCAACTGCATGTAACAGAGTGTTGGGAGAAGACAGGAAAAGTATTAGGGCTGCAGTGTAGCTCAGTGCTGGGGGCTTGCCCAGCACACAAAAGATCCAGAGTCCATTTGATGACCCTGAAGAAAAAAAAATGAGCAGTAATGTCTGAAAATCTCAAAACTATTAATCCAAGATCAGCTAGTTCTAGGTAACAAGATCCACACTCGGATATACCAAAAATGATAAAGTATGGGGAAATCTTGAGACTAGTAAGAGGAAAAAAAAAAAAAAAACATTGTATACAAGAAAAACCCCCTAGACTGGGGATGGTGGTGTACACTTGTAATTCCAGTGCTTGGGAGGCCAAAAACAGGAGGATCACTGAGTCTGATCTGTGTAGTGAGACCCTGTATAACCTGTGTTAAATTGAAAAAAGAAAACCCCACTAACACATTTTCCCAGGCTTAAACCACTGGTGATACAAATCACTTTTTATCAGTCTTTTTACCAATAAAATTAATGGTGTGTATACAGATTGAATCAAGTTAGTTGCTTGAATTTGAATAATTGTTGCCCAAATATAAATACTCATACCAAATAAAATTAAAATAATCATATTTGGGGGCCTGGCCCTAGCTCAGTCCTTTAAGTGGCTGCTTCCACAAAGTTGTCAGCCTCAGGTTGCTGGAGTTCGAACCTCACAACTCTCCCGCTGGCCAAAAGTGCCCTGAAGGCATTCGAGGAACAAAAAATAAAATAATCAGATTTATTTCATTAAAAGAAATGTATATTTTTGTGAATTTCTTTAAAACACATGAAGCTGGCTGATTTGTGCAGAGTACACAAACACAACGCATCTGGCTATTTTAAAGCCACACCAGCACCACTTTCCCCGATAAATTTCAGTAACACTCCCTTCATCACTCACGTGTATTCTTGCCACTCTTAGATAAGCCTTTATAAAAGTGGATTTTTTAAAATTAATTTACTCCTTTGGCATTGCTTCATGGGTTACTAATTTACCAGTAATTCTCCAGGTTTTAACGTGGAAATCTAGCAAGTACCCATTGCTGGTGTGTCTCATATGCAGCTGCAACTGCTGTACCACTAATGAGCTGTATTGTCACTGTTACGCCATTTGCTGTTTTCTTTAAGGAACTGTAATAGGATGCTCTCTGGTTGCTCAAATCAAAAACAAGATCAGATTTTGTTTCCAAGTTTCCTTTGCTCAGTGTACATGTATGATTTTTACACCAGAACGACGGGACAGTCATATAGGTACCAACTGTGGTTCAAGCCAGAGAAGGATCCTGTTCAAATTATTACAGCTTGTCATGAGCATGTTAAGGTTACAGTTTACATCTAGATGTCCCTCTAAAACCTCATGAGATCATACCAGGACGCTGGGAGATGACTGGATTTATAGCTGAGTTGCTATTAGGTCTGTTCTGGTCAGAAGAGGCGGGCCACTGACCACATCAGCTTCCTTGGCTCTTCCCTGTCTGCTCCTTGGGTCCCCTGAGGTAGGCATCTTGTGTCAGGCCCCTCTGCAGTGCCACTATGCTTTGCAGCCGGCATACTACAGGAAGTCAATACCAGCTTTCTTCCTTTGACTTGTGGGTACCAGGTATATGTCACAGTGATGAAGAAAGTTACTAAGAAATAAGGTTTCCTGTTAATTTCTCAAAACAGTAGAAGTCTGAAGACACATGGTATGAAAAGCTCAAAAAATCTTGTCAGCCAAGATTTTATACCTAGCAAAATCATCTTCCAGAACACAGATGACAACCTATTTTTCTGTGGCTAAGGGAGCATGGTAGAAAATTTGCTCCTGAAAAACCTCACGAAAGTCAAGATGAAAATAAGCCCACCAAATAACAAACCTCCCCACCAAAAGCAATACAGCCAATACTGATAGGTATATAGGAACTTATAAAATGCATGTAATTATCTAATTCACTTCTTGAGGTGATTCCAAAAGCTCTGTAAAATATATAATTTTACTGATTTATCCATAACCTAGAAATATTTTTGTAACAAGCATGTGAGAATAAAGCTATATTTTAAAGTAATGAATCCTCATAAAGAAATGAGAATGAATAAAAAGGTCAACAGAAACTATATACACTGGCTCTCCCTTCAACTATTTCATTGTTTACGTATTTGGTACAGGGTCTCACTATTGCAGCTTGGACTCATAGTGATCTTCCTGTTTCAGCCTCCCTAGTGCTGGTATTACAGGCATGTGCCACCACACTGGGTTTCGGTGGCCTGCACAGTACACTTGGGGCAGAGCCAGCACAGCATGTGGTACCGGAGTCGGAACCAGGACCTCGCACTTGCTAGACAGGCACTTAGAGTGCTCAGCTATCTCCTTTACCCTCTTCAACTATTTTAAATGACAAAAAGCATTAAAATGTATACATTTTTATCACTTACATTTATCATTGTTTTCAGTTTACACATGTTCAGCAGAGATGTAATAAGTTTCAGGAAGCGAAAAGAACAGGCCATCCTGTATTTCTGTTTTGTTGGAACTTACCATGAAGCCTGAGGAGAGTGCCAAAATGTAGACTACAAAGGCCTAGAGTAACCACTAAGAAGATAGTTCAAAATATACTGAAAGAAAATCATTAAAGGAATTAAAAATTACAATAGAAAATGTGCACTTAGTACAAAAGAAACCAGAAAAAGGTACAAAACATATATACGCTATTCAGGAATCAAAAACCAAAATGGAACCAGGCATAGTGGTGCACACCTGTGATCCCAGCACACAGGAGGCTGAGGCAAGAGGATCACCGCACAGTGAGCTGGAGGCCAGGCTGAACTACATAGCGAGACCTTGTCTTAGAAAAGCAAAGCGAAAGGTCATATAAATCCAGTCATATCAACAGTACAATTAAACATGAATGGTTAAAACAATCATAGCAAATTGTCCAGGCTGGATTTAGGAAACAAGATCCAACTATTCACTGCCCACAGGCAACACCCTAGAGCCAAAGACAACAGTGCAATGAAAACAACATGGCTGAAGGCTCAGCAGTAGATCAAGTACAGCACTCTACCCAAACACGCCATAATCCCTTCTTTATAAAGCAGCCGGCAGTCTACGACGTCAGCACGTCAGGGCGTGCATATGAGGTCATCACGCAGGCAGGTGGGCGGGGCCTTGGCGGTTTAAGTCAATCGACAAAGTTGGAGTCCAGTGGCAGCCGTGGCCCCAGTTTCCCCAGAGAGGTGGCAGCAGTCAGCCTGCATACTGGATTTCAGTC